CCACAATGATTTCTACTCTTTGTATTTGGTACCAAAAAAAAAAATGGAGGCCTCCATCCCATCCTTGATCTCAGAAACCTCAACAGCTACATCCGTCCCAGATGTTTCAGAATGGTTACACTCGACACCATCATCCCTGTCCTTTCACAGGGAGATTGGTTCATAGTAATAGATCTTCAAGATACATATTTCCACCCATGCCACCACAGATATCTTCGGTTCCACTTCAGTGACACCGCTTACCAGTTCTGCTCCCTCCCATTCAGTCTCTCTACTGCACTAAGAACGTTTAACAAGTGCCTTGCCCCAGTCACGGCACACCTCTAGCTACAAGGCGTTACCATATTTCCCCACATAGACGATTGGCTGATCATATCAAAATCTTACCAAGGTGCCCTGAGAAACACTCAGCTCACCCTCGACACATTAGCAGACCTTGGGCTCAAAGTCAACTTTACGAAATCTCGCCTAGAACCATTGCAAACAGCTGTCTACATTGGTGCGCATCTCGACTCCTCTCAAGCAAGAGTCTTCCTTCCACAAGAGCGGATAACCAAACTAAAACTGGCAATCCAATCTTACCTTCCCCCCGAACGTTCTCGTCAGACGTCCATTCGCCCCTCTTCAGTTTATGGTCTAGGTCACCACCAATGCCAGTCCTTCAGGCTAGGGAGCTCATTGCCAAGGCCACAGAATCCATGCCTTATGGTCAAACACAGACCATAAGGTCTTTCCACATAAATCACTTGGTTCTTCTAGCAACAATCAAAGCATTCTGTGTCTTCCAACTACTCACTGAAGGATGTGCTTTCCAGCTAGCCACAAACCGCATGACAGCTCTATACTATGTGAACAAACACGGAGGCACATATTCACTTTTTCCTCCTTTAGCTAGCAGTCCAATTCTGGGAATGGTGTCACACCCATCAGGTCTTTTTGGTTGCAATCCATGTTGCTACCCAAGACAACTCATTGGCAGACTACCTCAGCTGTCTTACCACCTCGACGCATGAATGGACTCTAGACGATACTGTCTTCACCCAAATCTGCAACTGATGGGATGTCCCCGCCATCAACATCTTCGCCACTCATGAGAACTAGAAATGCATCCAATACTGCTCTCGAGCCGGGAACAGCGTTGATTCCCTATGAGACGCATTCATGATCGACTGGGGAATAGGGCTCGTTTACCTATTCCCGCCCATTTCCCTCATCCAACGGACAGTAATCAGGCTCTGTCAATTCCGTTCCAATGCAATTCTTCTCACCCCTTGGTGGCCCCGACAGCCTTGGTTTACTCACCTGCGAATGATGGCAACAGACCTCTTCTGTCTCCCATCTATCCCACACCTGCTAACTCAGGACAACAGCAGGATTCACCACTCCAACCTCAAGTCCCTAAATCTCACTACATGGAGGATTCTCTCTCCATAAGAGCCGTCCTAGATAAAGCCAGGAAACCTTCTACCCAGCTTCTTTACCGCCACAAATGGAAAACCTTTTCCTCATTTACTGCCTCCAGGGGACTCCAAGCAACGCCAGTTTCCCTACAAACATTACTTACTTTTCTTTAACACCTCTTCCACCTCAGCTTGTCTCATTCTACTTTAAAGGTTTACATCATGGCTATAGTAGCCCATCTACCACCAGATTCAGATTCTGCATGGCTTTTTTCACATCCCACTCTGGAAGAAACTTCTTAAAGGCCTTCGCAACATTCAGCCTCCTCAACGCCCTCTTCTTCCTCAGTGGTCAGTCCAAACAGTGCTTAATGCCCCCACTGGGGAGGGCACGAAAACGCTGTGCGTGGCCATTTTGGCTGTCCCAGCGGCCATTTTGGACCCGCCGAACAGCTGATCCGCGGTCTCGCTGCGGCCAAAATGGCCGCACGCAGCGTTTTCGCACCCTCCCCTCACTTACCAAGGGCGCGAAAATGGCTGCCAGACCCGGAAAAGCATCGTTGTACGTTGAGTTTTTGACCATTGGACCAATGGCTTTTTTTTAATCCGTACAGCGATGCTTTCACACAGCAAGGGTTAATCCGGAACGGATTAACCTCGCTGTGCGAGGCACCACTGTATACTACTGCAGCCCATGGAATTAAAGGATGAAGCAGCAAACCTTCCCCCTTGGACCACAGGCTGCCCCTGAAATATTCCTCTTTCTCAGAGGTTTTCCTACAAAAAAAGGCCCCCATGTGATCTTTTTGTCACCGTTTGGATTTATTTTCCCTTCTTTTGGTTTTAGTGCACACAGAGAAGGAGGAAAGTCCAGCGGCACCTGTCTCACTTGCCCTTTGCCTCAACCTAATTGTGTTTTGTCAGTCGCCCGTTTCTTAACATGCTTTTTACCTTGCAAGTTGTAGTGCAGCACACACGGCCACTAGAATGGTGGGCTGAGAAGCATTCTCTCCCACTCAGACAGGAGGCCACCCCTGAAACCTTCTTCTTTCCCAGAATTTCACCCATACAGGAATGATAAGTGTGGTTTTCTTTCCCTTCTTTTTGTTTAGTGTATACCAAGAAGATGGCATTTGGATTTCCAGTTCTTTGTCTTGTCCTGTGCATCATCTTTGTTGTACTTTGTAAGTAGCCCAGATTTTTATGCTTTTTACCTTTGCAATTTTATGTATGTATGCATAACCACCCCTCTGGGCAGTTTACAGTCAAACAAGAAATGTTAATAAAAACAACAAAATAAAAGTCAGCACATCAAATGGTAGAAATATAAAATGAAAAATATCATGAGCATATATCCATATAGAGCAACAAGGAAGGGGTCATGCAGAGTTGCCAAAAAAAGGCCTATCTGTACAACATTTTCTATGATCCTTTTAAAAGAATGGGGGGGGCAGGGGCAGTTCTATTGGCAGTTGGTTCCATAGCATTGGAGCCACTGCAGAGAAGGCTCTCCTTTTAGTCGAGAATTTCTTAGCCCCCCTTGGAGTGGCTACCCAGAGGATCATGGCCTGGGAGGACCTAATGGGCCGGGTGGATGACCTTAGGAAAAGGCGCTCCGACAAGTAACGTGGTCCCAAACTGTCAAGAGCTTTGTAGGTAATCATCAAAACTTTGAATCTGATCTGGGAGGCAACAGGTGATTGGTGCAGGCGAGCCAGGACTGGGGAGACGTGGTCACACCTGTGCGCACCAGTTACCAGTGGCTGCAGCGTTCTGGACCCCTTGCTGTTTCTGGGTCAGACCCAAAGGAAGCCCCACATAGAGAGCATTGCAGTGTCCACTCTTGTGGTTCAAATAGGCATTGACAAGAGGATAGAACCACAGATCTGGCCCTCTGTGCTGCTGCAGAAACCAGGGAGACCAGTGGAAGCTCCAGCCTCTTGGAGAGTTTCCCTTGTGCTCTGCCTGAGCTGCTGCCTCTTTTTCATGCCCAGAATCTCTGGATTTTGGAATTCATTGGTATCCAAATTGGGCCAAGGTGTGTTAATAGACATGGCTTCTTATTATGCAAGGACACTGTAGGGAGTGAGAAAAGTTTATTTAATTTTTTAAGGAGATGAATTTGTTTATTTATTTAATTTATACCCAGCCCATCCAGTCTACTCTGGGTGGCTAACAACACTAAGAATAATAAGAGAAAAGAAAACAACATTAATATAATACAAGACGGCAAGAATAAATTTAATAATGACAGGAGGAAAGACCTGCTTAAAGAGTCATATCTTAAGTTTGCTCTTAGAAACACCTAGCGAAGGAGCCAGACAAAGGTTCCAAAGGTGAGGGGCCACTGCTGAGAAGGCCCACTTTCTTGTTCTTTCTCTTTGGGCCTTCCTTGTTGTTAGCCCCCTTAGCCGCCCATCTTGACTATATTATATATATTTTTAATAGCTCCCAAATTTCTTAGGCCACCAGGGTACTCTGAGAACTGGAGTCCCAAAAACAAACGTCTTCTTGAATGGAAACACCCAAGAGTATGATTGGCATGGCTCTTATTGATCTGTTAAAGGAGTGTTCCTAACATGTCTGGATCTCTCTGATCCCATTGAGACCCTGACTCACCCTGATGATCCCTGTATCTCTTCGTATTTCTCAGACGGGGTGTGGCTGAGGGGGAGAGATACGATAGCAAAATTCTTGGGCTCTGGGTCTTTTCTCTTGGGGAGGGGCTCTTTCAGCTGCTATGTGTTCTTATGCCACTTACTTCGATAGGATAAACCAGCCCTGCTGGATTTGGGGGCCCTCCTTCTAATGCTTAGGGCCCTGGGCTCCTGCTTCAAAGTTCTTCCCTGCTCCACCAGTACGTTTGAAGATGGTCTCTTATTCTGTGTTCCTTTCTGTTCTAGTCCATCTACTTAAGAAGCCATCCGATGGTGAAGTTCCCCATCCATGCCACACTCCACCATGTCCAACTCATTGGTTTTGGTATCAAGGAATGTGCTATTACTTTTCAGAGGGAGAAAAAAACTGGACTTCCAGCCAGGACTTCTGCTTTTCCCATAATGCTTCCTTGGCAAGGATTACAAAGGAAGAAACGGTAGAGTCATTTTCATTTTGTTTGTAAAAGGTACCACCTAAGCCCCATATCAGGCAAAATTCAAACAAACAAAAATAAATACAAAAACATGTGGTGACTTAACTATTATATTTTAATGTAAGGTTTCATGGTCTACTCTTACTCTATTTCTATGGGGGTCCATCATGCATATAAATTTTATTTCAGCTGCTTCCCTCCGTATTCTTCATTTCTAATCATTGAAATGGTTGGAGACAGATTTCTATGTATTGTGGTTCCTGATGTCTGATTTGTGACCCTTGACCTGTTTCTGTAGAGATTGTCCTGTTTGTCCTATGTAGGGTGCAGAGGGGCATTGTTGGCAAAAGATGGCATAGATTACTTTAGCTGAGGAACAAGTGAAGGTGCCTTTGATATTGCGTCTGACATTGTCAGGTCCCATGATTGTGTTGCCAGAATAGATCTGTGGACAGTTGGTATCTGGGACTGTGGCAGGATTTAGCCCCTCTCTGTGTTGCTGTTTTGTGGTCCATTATGTGTTAATGTTTGCTTGAGGTTGGGGGAGTTGTCTGTAGGTAAATATGGGTCTCCCACCAAGGGCTTTAGAGAGTGAAGTGTCAAGGATGGGTTGGAAATCACTTAGGATGTGTGTGAGAAGTCTCAGTTGTGGACTGTAGGTGACAACTAGCAGTGTTTGTTATCTTGTCATCTTGGTCTGTCTTGCAGTAGGTTACTTCTAGCAATGTGTCTTGCTTTATTGATTTGTTCCTTAAGTATATGGGGTGGGTACTGTGGTCTGAGGAATGCATTTTGTAGGTCCTTGAGTTTGGAGTCTCTCTCTTTTGGGTCAGAGCAGTGGTGTCAAACTGTAGCCCTCCAGATGTTCTTGGCCTTCAACTCCCAGAAATCCTGGCCAGCAGAGGTGGTGGTGAAGGCTTCTGGGAGTTGAAGTCCAAGAACATCTGGAGGGCCACAGTTCGACACCACTGATCTAAGGGCTTGGCTGTACACAATGGATTTTGTCATGTGTTCAGGATGGAAGCTGGAGGAGTGCAAGTAGGTTTGTCAATCAGTGAGTTTCTGGCATAGTGTGGTGCTAAGATATCCATGTTGTAATCTCACAGCAGTATCTACAAAATGCAGCTGTTGCATAGACTGTTCCAAGGCAAAGTTGATGTTTGGGTAAAAAAAATTGAAATCCTAATCGACTTTTTCTAGGGATTCCTTGCCATGAATCAGTAAAATGTCATCAGTGTACCTCAAATAATGGATTTTGGGTGCAGCAATTGAGAAAGCGTTGTTCCAGGTCGGTCATGAATATGTTTGCCTATTTTGGAGCTATGTGTGTGCCCATCACAGTTCCATTGATCTGGAGGTAGATTTTATTGTCAATGAGTTGTACTCATAGTTGTTTATGAGTACAAAGTCAGAGAGGGTGGTGATTATGTGTGCTTCTTCCTTGTTTTGAATTGTGTTTCTGATAGCTTGTAGTCCATCTTCATGTGGAATATTGGTATAGATTGCCTCTACATCCATTGTAGCTAGGATGGTGTTGTCTGGGAGGTTGTGTGTGGACTGAAGTTTCCTTAGGACGTCGTGGTATTTCCTGCATAACTAGGTGCATTGATGGCATAAGGCTTGAGGATGGAGTCCAAGTATCTAGATACCCGAACTGTGATAGTGTTGATGCTTGAAACAAAGTGCCTACTGAGGTAGCCCCATATATGCTGCAGTGGTGAAGAAAAATCCCACAATTAGCAGGGAGTCAGACAATAGTTATAGCTCTTATTACCCAACTCTTACATGATATTTGGTTGCTGTACTCTTGGCCTTGTGATGTAGCCATTGAAGGATTTAAGAGATGCCTTCTCTCATCATTACAGGATTTTATACACCTTCTCAAAGGGAAGGACGCCTTCTGGATTGGCCTCAGAAGATCCCCAGGTCAGCCCTGGACATGGCTAAATGGAGACATTGCAACGTGAGTCCTTCTCTTTCCCTTTCTGGTTCAAATTAGATTAGGCATCCTTCAGTCTTGAGAGATTATGGTAACGTGCTCTGTATGGAGGACTTGGAACAGCGTCTAGGGTGGCTGAGGCCAGTTTGAGAGTGACAACCCCTTCCACACTGAAGACAAATACAACCTGTCCCCTGTCCAGATCCCTGATTTTGCTGGTTTCAGTTCTGCCTCTTTGCCTCGGCCTGCTTTACAAATTGGGAGAGGCCATGATGCAATACCTGCCTCCAGGCTGAATGCTCAGATGTCAGGGTTTCCCATCTGTTGAGGTCCATTCCTAAGGCCTTCAGATCCCGCTTGCAGATGTCCTTGTATCGCAGCTGTGGTCTCCCTCTGGAACACTCCCTGCACTAATTCTCCATACAGGAAATCTTTTGGAATCCGATCATGTATACATGCTAAAAATTCCAGCTCATTCTAGGTCTATTTGGCACTTTGTCCTGCCAGGGGAAACAAAAATGTGTCAGAGACAACGCACATGGAACGTATTCAGCTTCCTCTCCTGCCGTGCACAAAGGGTCCAGGACTCACTGCAATACAGGAATGTGCTCAGGACACAGGCTCTATAGACCTGGATCTTGGTATATGCCATCAGCTTCTTATTAAGCCATACTCTCTTTGTGAGTCTAGAAAACATGGTAGCTGCTTTGCCAATGCGTTTATTCAGCTTGACATCTAGGGAGAGAGTGTCAGAGATCGTTGAGCCAAGGTACACAAAGTTATGAACAACCTCAAATTCTTGCATGGAAATGGTAATAGAGGGAGGTGAGTCCATGCTCTGGGCCATGAGTTGTGTTTTCTTCAGGCTGATTGTTAGTCCAAAGTCTTGGCAGGCCTTGCTAAAACGATTCATGAGTTGTTTGAGGTCTTCAGCAGAGTGGGCAACAATGCCTGCATTATCGGCGAAGAAAAGTCTCACATGCATTTCATTTGGACTTTGGTCTTCACTCTCAATCTAGAGAGATTAAAGAGCTTTCCATCTGATCTAGTCCAGTGATTATTGCAAAGGCGTACTTCAGCATGACAGCAAAAAAGATCCCAAACAGAGTCGGCGTGAGGATACAACCCTGTTTCACTCCACTATGGATGCCATCAAAAACTGCAGTGCCCTTCATTTCCTCATGAAGGGACCTGATGATGTTAAGGAGTTGAGGTGGACATCCAGTGTTGGGAAGTATTTTAAAAAGGCCATCCCTGCTAACCAATTTTTTTGTGAGATCTATGAAGGCCACAAAGAGTGGCTGTTGTTGTTCTCAATTTGAAGCCAATAATTGTTGGAATATCTCCTGACAGCCTGTTGGACTTTGCTACAAGCAGCTCAAAGAGGCTGAAAGTTGTAATCACTAGGACAGGCTTTGTATACTGCTAGAGCTCTCCTCTTTAGAACTATGGTGCTGGAGGAGACTCTTGAGAGTCCCCTGGGCTGCAAAAAGAACAAACCTATCCATTTTGAAGGAAATCAACCCTGAATGCTCACTGGAAGGACAGATCCTGAAACTTATTTTATTTATTTATTTATTTATTTTATTTCTATCCCGCCTATCTGATCATATTAGACCACTCTAGGCGGCTTACAGTAAAAACAACAATGTAATTTTGAAACTTTACAGCAGAAACGTAAATAAAAAATAAAAATAAAGAACAGAATAAGAAAAAAGATCGTCAAGGGTTTTCTGTTGGGAAGGCCCGCCTATACATCAATGTTTTTAGTTGTTTCTTAAAAATGCCCAGGGAGGGAGCCGCGCGAATCTCAGGGGGCAAGTTGATCCAAAGGCGAGGAGCCACCGCCGAGAAGGCCCGGTTTCTGGTCTTTTCCTTTCGGGCCTCTCTCGGCGTTAGGCTCCTCAGCCTTATCTCCTGGCTCGCG